TGGGCAACAGAGTTCCAAAACTGCCTGGGCATAGAAGCAATCATGCATTGAATACCCAATCAGGTCCAGGACTGACGGAGGCAATAGTCATCCTTGCTTTAGAGATAAGAGAAATGAGCCTCAGAGGCTCTCTCCCTTTCTCCTGTTGTGGCCCACCTGACCCTCTGTGCTTCAGGAATGCCAAATTGTGCTTTGTTCTCTGCAGATACTATGCTGTTTTACATCTCACTGCCTTTTCCTGTGCAGTTCCTACTGCCTGGAACACTGTTCCTTCAGCATCTTCTACAGCATCTATTCTGGGAGTGCTAGGTTAAGTGCCCGTCCAACTGTTGGTGAGTATCTCTCAACTAGACTGCAGGCTTCTCGGAGGCAGAATCGTGACTTTGTCACACTGGTCCTGCCACACTTGGCACAGTGCCTGCTGCAGAGTCAGGGTTCTCAAATTATTGGCTGAAGAGAATAAATATATGTACAGACGCGTGTCTTAAGCAGCACAGCTAGCATGAGGCAAAATGGGTTTTGAACCATGGTTGCCCCTCACATAAGGCACCTTTGTGTGCATTAGGAAAAGACTCCCCCTCTGAGTGAGTGCACTGCAAAAAGGCAAGTCTTCTGGGCAGACCAGCTGGGAAAAGGCACTCTTCCCTTGGCTGACACAGCCAGGTCTCCGGGCTTGGCTGAGCCAGTGAGTAGATTTCAGCCCTGACTCATGCTTCTTGGGCATGATGACCCAGCTCAGGTACAGCCTGTTTGAACTCAAGTCAGCTTGATACTGAAACCCACACTTTTCTTTGCCATGTGAACAAGAGCAATGTGCCCTCAAAACATTTTCAAGCCAAGAAAAAGCTCTGTGTGTGTGTGTGTGTGTGTGTGTGTGTGTGTGTGTGTGTGAGAGAGAGAGAGAGAGAGAGAGATTGATTTTTGGCAAGAGATTTTTGCTATTTTTGGTAAAATAGCAAAATCCCCAAACCGCTGGTGCCATGTTACTGTGGGCTCAAATCCACATACACAAGTAAGATTCCATACATACATAAGATTCCATACATAAGTGAGATTATGCGGTATTTGTCTTTTTGCATCTGTGTAATTTCATTATAAGTATTATATCCTTAAGGTTCATCCATGTTATTGCAAATGACTGATTTTTTTTTTCCTTTTTAAAGCTGAATAGTATTCCTTTGTGTATAAATGCCACATTGTCCTTATCCATTCCTCCCATAATGGACACCTAAATTGCTTCCACATCTTAGCTATTGTGAATATTCTTTTCCCCCAAATCAAGCAGAACAATACTCATCCCTTTGCCTGAGCACAACTAGGTGCCAGAGGCAGTGGGAAGAGAGTATCTGAGAAAGACTGAAGGCTACACGGTCACCAAAGATAAAGAAAAGTCCCTCCTGGGGCAGCAAGCATTTAGTTGAGGGCATGAGGGGAAGGTATGTCTTCAGATGGTGGAGTTCAAGGCTGCAGTGTGCTATGATCATGCCTGTGAATAGCCATGGCACTCCAGCCCAGGAAATATAGTGAGACCATGCCTGACTCTAAAAAATTTGGATTTGAAATCTGAAGGCTGCAGAACTGCAAGTAGAAACTGAGCATGTTTTGCAAACAGCAATAAAGGATTTAGCATGAGGAAGTGAGCCTTGCAAAGCAAGTATAGGGTAGGGGATCCACAAAAGGGTCAAGTGAAACTGTCTCAGTTTGTGTATCTGTAAAATGGGGATGACACTACCTACCTCACAGAGTCCTCACAGATGAAATTCAATAATATAGGTGAAATGAGTGGCATCTGGCATATGGTAAACATTTACTAAATGGTGATTGCAATTATTTTGATTAGCAGATTGGTGATGACAATGATGATGATAGGAGTGTAGTTGTTGGTGGTATAATATTTAGGGTAATGAATGTCTGCCACTAAATGTCAAGGTGAGAAGAGCTCTGCTAACCTCTTCTAGAAAGGGAGAAAGAACAAGAGCCTCTCATCCTGCTTTTGTTCCCATCCGCTCCTCTTGTGGCTAATGCAGATAGCGAGCAGAGTTGCTAAAAGCCTTGGCAGAAGAACCACAGGAGGACTGAAATGAGCGGAGAGAAAGCTCTCCAGTCCTTCGGCCCCCGCTGCCTGTCACTCCATCTTCCCAGTCCTTGGGGCACCCTGCATGAGAAGGATGGAGGAGGCAGGAGCATGGGGGTACAGTGGGGGACTTAGCGTTCTTCCTAGGGTGAGATGACAATGGAAGGGAGGGCGAGGAATGAGAAGTTGGGACAGTTGAGATGGATGCCAAAGGGTTGTGGAAACAAAATGTGTCCTCAGGCGTGCTTGAAGCCTATACCACTGATGCTATCCATTTGTACAGAAGATTGTTATTTAGCGTTCCACGAACATTTACTGACTGCTTATGTACATGTCACTGTGGTAGCTTGGGGATCAGTAGTCACAAAACAGAGATGGTCTCTGTATTTGTGGAGCTGACTTAACTTTTAGCCCAATTTAAATACTTGATTACTTTTTGAACAAAAGCAGCCACAGTTACTTAGGCCAAAAACCTTGGGATATCCTTGTCTCTTTTCTTTCTCTCACACTGCTGATCTAATCCACTGGCAAGTCCTATTGGCTGTATCCTCAATATGCACCCCAAATCTGACCGTTTCTCACCACCTCCACCTCTATCACCCCAATACAAGCCACTGCCTTCTCTTGCCTAGACCATTGCTGTAGCTACTCCTCTGCTCAATGCCCTCCCTGGCTCCTTATCTTACTCTGAATTGAAGGCAAAGTCCTTGCAGTGACTCACAATGCAGTCATCATCTTGCCTCTGATTGCCCCTTTAACCCTATTGCACCATGGTAGCAATAAGAGCTGGAAAAATGAAATGAAATCCACTTCCTGGAAAAGGCAAGGAGGGAAGACAAGCTTCAGTCTCCTTTATCACTAGCAGATTTTCCAGGAAGCACAGTGTGATGGACTCTTACATGGGACCCTGTCTTAAACTGACAAATAGCAAGAACAGTAACGAAGGTCAGAGTATTTTAACGACATCACTAGAAATATGGTTAAAAATTAAAGATAAACCTCACACAGGGAAAAAAGTGTTTGCAGTCCCAACAAAAGATCAATATCCAGAATATATAAATAGCTCCTGTAAATCAATAAGAAAAATAATCTCAGTGGAAAAATGGACAAAAGATTTGCAAAGGCAACTCACCTGCCTTTACAAAAATGAAAATAAAAAAGGAATAATCTCTTGGTGAAAATACTTACAAGCCAAGGATCATTAGAGAAGAGAAGGCATAGGCCCTATTCTATTCTCCTGTTATCACCATGCCGGGAAAAGGGCAGTGTGGGTCTACATGCCAGCAGAGGAAATTCTTCTTATTGTTTTATCTTCATGTAGGTCAACCATGAGTGTAAATTTATCTACGAAGATATACACAAGCTGCTTCAGTGCCAGGGAGGCTGGAGGAGAGAGTCCTTTTTGCTGTTATTATGGAAAATTTCAAATGCATACAAAAGTAGAGAGAAAAGTACGATGAACTCAATGTCCCAGAATACTTTTGGCTTAAACCCTACACTCCTCAAGGAAAGGCTCCCCCACAAGAAATCAGAGGGAAGTCCCACCTTCCCCATGGTGGGCAGGGGTGGGCAAGGGTGGGCTGTGGAGGGGTGAGAGGGTGTTGGGCTGAACGTTGAAGAGCAGCAGCATCTGACAGGCTGAATGGAGAAGTGGGAGGATTGCAGCACACTCAGGGCTGACTCCACAGACCATTGCAGTCACAAAGCTGGGGACAATCTGACAATTAGAACTGTTCTTTTTGTTTTTTAAAATTGAGACATACTCTACACAATTCACCATTTAAAAATGTACAATTCAGAAGGTTTTAGTATATTAACAGAAGTGTGTAACCAATGCCATTATCTAATTCAGTACATTTTCATCACCCCAAAAAGAAACTCCACACCCACTAGCAATAACTCCTTATTCTCCTTTTCCCTTACCCCCAGAAACCACTCATCTACTTTCTGTCTCTACAGATTTGCCTATTCTGGATGTTTCATATAAATGGAGTAATACAACACATGACCTCTTGTGACTGGCTTCTTTCACTTAGCAGAATGTTTTCAAGGTCCATCATGTTGTGGCAAGTATCAGTACTTCATCCTCTTTTAATGCTGAATAATATTCTATCGTATGGATATACCACCTTTTGTTTATCCATTCATCTACTGATGGACACTTAGGCTTTTTCCATATGTTATCTACTACAAATAATACCGCTATGAACATTTGTGTCCAAGTTTTTGTGTGGACACGTTTTAATTTCTCTTGGTTATATACCTAGAGGTACTTCTGGGTCGAATGGTAACTTCATGTTTAACTTTTTGAGGAACAGCTAAACTGTTTTCCACAGTGACTGCACCCATTCCCGCAGCAGCATATGGGGCTTTTGATTTCTCCACATCCTCACCAGTATGTGATATCTTCCTGTTAAAGATATTATAGCCATCCTAAGGGGTATGAAGTGGTATCTCATTGTTTTGATTTGCATTTCTCTGATAACTAATGGTGTTGAAAATCTTTTTGCTAGGGAAGCAGGAACCTACGAAAGCCAGAGTGACACCATTTTAAAATCAACTCCATCTTAAAACTAGCATGGCAAATTCCTTGCTAGTCGGAGATGATCAATACAGTCTCAGTCTTCAAGGCGCTCGCTATCTAGAAGATAACAGAGTAGGAAGTTTCTCAGCATCTAATCAATAGGTGAAAAATCAATTCTATTCATATTTTTTCAAATGTGCCCAGCAGGTGCAGAGACACTGCCATTGGAACTCACAGAGATGGCCAGGTCAGGCGCCATTTTAATTTTTTCCTTCGGAGCCACGGAGCCTCTACGGCTTCGATCCTTCCTCCGGGCACCAGGGTGCGCTGTACCATCTCTTGGTGTCGGCTGAACAGTGCCGCGCTCTCCCTTACTTCCCTTCTTGCTGGGCCGCACTTCCGGTGACTGGCGGAAACGGGAACCTGCAGCCGCGGGGGCCGGAGTCCTGGGGCATGGCGGGGGCGGGGCAGGGGGAGGCGCGCACGGAACAGGCTGGGGCGTCCCTCGCCCTGGCTCTTTGAGCCTGGACCAGACAGGTGAGGACTTATCATTTTTGGCCCAGCCTCCAAGCCCGTCAGACCCTCCCCGGCAGGCTCCTCCCTGCATGACGCTGATACCCAGAGGCCCCACGGCCCCCTCCCTCCCTCCCTCCCTCAGAATTCTCTTCCCATTGAGGCCCCGCCCCAGGCTTTTCTTTCCGGGGGCGCCCCTTTGGGTTTGTGTGCCCGCCCCTTGGCATCCCCTTCTGGTTTAGAGGCCGTTGCAAGGAATTGAGGGACATGTGCACCTTCCCCTGGGAAACTGAGACCCAGCAAGGGTAAAGGACTTAGTACCACACAGTGAGTTTAGTGTCCCAATTCAGTCAGGCTTTCTTCTTTCATTCCATAAGGTACCAAATGCCTACCGTGTGCCAGCCCCAGTGCTAGGTTCTGAGAATACCAGATGACCAGGGTAGACCTGGTTACTTCCTGTCTGGAGGGTACAGGTTAGCAAGGGAATCAAACATTAAACACAACCATGCAAGTGGAAGTATAAATACAATTGCGATGATTACTATGGAGAAGACAAAATATAATAATGGGAGGCCTGTTTTAGATAAGATGGTCGGGGAACACTTGCTAAAGGAGACCGCACTTAAGCTGCAACTTGAGAAGTTACAGCAAGGGCAGGGGAAATGCATTCCAGGCAGAGGGAGTAGTCTCTGTGGATGCCTGAGTTGGCACAGAACTTCCCGTTAGATAGATCCAGTGTTCAGGAAGGGAGACTTACCATGTGTCAAACACTGTGATGAGCATACAGAATATAGTGTTTGCGTATTGGTCGGTCGAACATCACCATCTAATGAGGGCCGTAAACATAAGTAAGATCTTCATCTCAGCTGCCCAGCTCTGCCTTTGTAGGGCAAAAGCATTATGTAAATGATTGGGTATGGCAGGGTTCCAGTGAAATTTTATTTACAAAAACTGGGAGGTGGGGGTCAGGCGTGGTGGCTCATGCCTGTAATCCTAGCACTTTGGGAGACCAAGGCAGAAGAATCACGTGAGCCAGGGAGGTCCACGGTGGTGCCACTGCACTCCAGCCTGGGCGACAGAGTGAGACCCCAAAAAAACCAGGAGGTGAGAGGTGGGCTAGATTTGGGCCGAGGGCAGTAGTTTGCAGACCCTTGCTCTATTCTAGATCAGTATACATTTTAGGTCCTTGTTCAGTGCATGTAACTCCAATATAATTGAAACGAACGTTTTACAAAACAATGCTTGCTATTGCAATATATGATAGCTTGATATTTTCTATTTTCTTGTATTTCATTTTTTAAAATGTCAGACTATTCACTAAATTGATTCAAGGCCCTATTAATGAGATGTGACTAGCAGTTTGGGAAACTTGCTCAGTCATGGAGGTGTGTACATTTTTAACTTGACTGGGTATTATATATACTTATATAAGGCATTTGGAACCTTTTCAGAAGGAGACAGAATGTGAATAAATACCTCATTTTATGTTTTGATATACAGATTGGATGCAATCCCTCCCCTGCTTTGCAGTCTTTTTCTAGGCCTCTCTTATCACTCACTCTGTGCTTCCTGTGCTCTAACCACTTGAAATTGCTCGTTTCCCAAATGTGCCATGTCATGCTTTTTTAAAATGTGTCTTTTATGTACCTTTTTATCTGGTTTGTTCCTTTTTTTTTTTTCTTTGGAGACAGAGTCTTGCTTTGTCACCTAAGCTGGAGTGCAATGGTACAATCTCGGCTCACTGCAACCTCCGCCTCCTGGGTTCAAGCAATTCTTCTGCCTCAGCCTCCTGAGTAGCTGGGGCTACAGGCGCCTGCCATCATGCCCAGCTAATTTTCGTATTTTTAGTGGAGATGGAGTTTCACTATATTGGCCAGGCTCGTCTCGAACTCCTGACCTTGTGACCTCCCCGCCTCAGCCTCCCAAAGTGCTGGGATTACAGGTGTGAGCCAATGCATCTGGCCTGTTTTTCCTCTTTTACTTTGTTTAGTGTATTATTCTTCAAGGCTATGCCAATTGTTGCTCCATTAATTCATTTTAACATATTTATGAGCACTTAACTGTCCCTTCTCCTAGGTGCTGGGAATACAGCAAGGAATTAGACCAGTTCCCTGCTCTCTGGTATGGGGGGACAGATACTAAAAAGGTAAACAACTTAATTTCAGAAAGAGATAAAGACCATTAATGAAATAGGGTGTATCAGTAGATTCGTGTGGGCAGAAGTAAGGTGGCTGGGGAATATTTCTGAGGAGGTACTATATTAGCTGAGACTTGAATGATGAAACAGAGTCAGATCTTTCAGCACTTAAAAAATGTTGTTCCACTTCTTTCTGACTTCCTTGGTTTCTGATGAGAAATCTAGACATTTTGAATTGTTGTTCCTCTATAGGTGATACATGGTTTCTATCTGGTCACTTTAGAGATTTTTACTGTGTATCTTTTAGTTTTTTTCCATTTTAGCTATGATGTGTCTGGACATGGATTTCTTTGGATTTATCATATTTGGGGGTCGCTAAACTTCCTGAATTTGGGGGGGTCTCTGAACCTTTTGAATTTAGGATTTATATCTTTAGCCAAATTTGGGAAGTTCCTCCCTTCCTTCCTTCCTTCCTCCCTCCCTCTCTCCCTCCCTTGCTTCCTGTTTTTTTTCCCTTCCTTCCTTTCTTTCTTTTCTTTTCTTTCTTTTGAGAGAGTTTCACTCCGTTACCCAGCCTGGATTGCAGTGGCATGATCTCAGCTCACTTCAGCCTCTGCCTCCTAGGCTCAAGTGATCCTCCCACCTCAGCCTCCTGAGTAGCTGTGACTACAGGTGTACACCACTGTGCCTGGCTACTTTTTGTATTTTTAGTAGAGATGGGGTTTTGCCATGTTGCCCAGGCTGGTCTTGAACTCCTGGGCTCAAGCAGTTTGCCCACCTCAGCCTCCCAAAGTTCTAGGATTATGTACTCTCTCCAAAGATCAGGGTTAGACCTTTTGATATTTTCCCTAGGGCCCTGAGGCTTTACTGACTTTTTTTCCGTCTTTTTTTTTTTTTTTTTCTTTCTCGTCTTTTGTTCACTTTGGATAACGTATACTGATCTATCTTCAGGGTGACTGACTCATTTCTGTGATGACTTCATTCTGCCCTTGAGCCCATCAGTGAGTTTTTTATTCTTTTTCAGAATTGTTTTTAAATTAAAAAAAAAATTTTTACTAGATTCTATGGAAGCTAGAAGAGTTTTGTATGCTGGTTATTGCTTTTCAGCTCTAAACTTCTTATCTGGATCTTTAAGAAATACCCAGCTGAGTTTCTCAGTTTCTTAGCTGAGACTTTGGTTTTCTATCATTTCAAGAGTGTTTGTGATTGCTTATTAGAACACTTTTATAACAGATACTTCAAAATCTTTCTCAGAGAATTCTAACTTTTGTAGCATCTCAACATTGGTGTCTGTCAATTGTCTTTTCTGGATTGAGTTTTTTCCTAGTACTTCATATGCTGAATTATTTTGGATTGTATCCTAGACATTTTGAATATTATAAGATGATAGGGCCTGTTTAAATCCCAAGAGGAATGTTGGTAATTTTTGGCTTGGTAGGCAGTCTACCTAATTAGCTTCAGGGAATTTGCAATTTGCAACTCCCTTTCTTTAGGCTATGATTCTAATGGCAGATGAATTTTCAGAAAATCTTTGCAGTGCTATTTGGATCTGTCCCATGCATGTGACATTCAGTGGCCAGTCTGAGATCTGGGTGGTGATTATTTCAGATCTCAAAGCCTTTAGTCTGATTTGGACCAGATCCACACATGCGCAGCTTGGGAGTTCATGAACAACTTCATGATGTTACTTTTCTGCGCTCCTCCCCCTCTGATATCTCCTCAGTACCTTCTGGTTTCATTGGGGTCTCCCTTTTGATCTTCTGATGACAAAACTGGGACTTTAATTACCTTCCTTGCAACACACTTGCTCTCCAAGCAGCAGGAGGACCGGGGGGGGGGGGGGGGGGGGGGGGGCAGACAGCGTTAACCTCACTGCCCATTCAGTGGTACTTTATTGTTAGCCAATTAGTTTTTCTCGTATGCCTGTCTTATGCATTCTGTCTAGGTTTTATAGCTGCATTTTTAGTGGGAGAGAAGGTGGTGTTTGCTTATTCCTTGTCTGGCAACAGCTTTATAACTTGAGTTTTTCACTAAATGCCGTTGACTTTTATGGCCTGAGATTTAACTTTGATTTGAATCAAGGTATAATAAAACATTTAGAAGACTATGCCATATAATAGATGCCCCATAAATATTAAAGCATATTTTTATTGTGATTTTAAAATAGCATAACATTTACCATCTTAACCGATTGTAAGTGTACAGTTCAGTAGTATTAAGTATCTTCACATTGTTGTGAAATAGATCTTGAGAACTTTTTCATCTTGAAAATCTGAAAAGTCTAACCCATTAAACAGCACCTTTCCTTTTCCCCTCCTGCTAGTCCCTGATAACCACCATTCTTCTTTGTTTCTGTGAATTTGATTCTTTTTTCTTTTTTTAATGATAAGCATTTTAAATTAAAACAGGTTTTTTTTTTTTGTTTTTTTTTGTTTTTTTTTTTTTAGAAATTGGGTCTTACTCTATTGCCCAAGCTAGACTCAAACTCCTGGGCTCAAGTGGTCCACCTCAGCCTCCCAAGTAGCTGGGATTACAGGTGTGTGCTACTGCACCTGGCTGTTGAATTTGATTACTTTTGATACTTCATTTAAATGGAATCATACAGTATTTGTCTTTTTGTGATTGGCTTATTTGACTTCACATCATGTCCTCAAGGTTCAATGATGAATTTTGTCAGAATTTTGTTCCTTTTGAAGGCTGAATAATATTCCACTGTATGTATATACCACATTTTGTTTATCCAGTCACCCATCAATGAACTTTTGGATTGCTTCCATCTCTTGACTACTGTGAATAGTGCTGATATGAACATGGGTGTGCAGATATCTCTTAGAAATCTTGCTTTCAGTTATTTTGGATTTATACCCAGAAGTGGAATTGCTGGATCATATGGTAGTTCTAATTTTTTTTGAGGAATCTTCATACTGTTTTCCTTAGTAGCTGTACTATTTTTCAGTTCCACCAACAGTGCACAAGGGTTCAGCTTCCTCTATGTCCTCAACGACACTTGCTATTTTCTTTTTTTTAAAAAAGCAGTCATTCTAATGGGCGTGAGGTGATATCCCATTGTAGTTTTGATTTACATTTCTCTGATGATTAGTGATGTTGAGCATCTATCTTTTCATATGCTTTTTGGCCATTTGTATAGGAGAAATGTCTATTCAAGTACTTTGACCATTTTAAAATTGGGTATATGATTTTTTGTTATTGAGTTATAAGAGTTCTTTATATGTTCTAGATATTAACCCTTTATCCAGTATATGATTTGCAAATATTTTCTTCCATCCTGTAGAAAGCCCTTTCACTCTGTTGATTGTGTCCTTTGATTACAGAAGTTTTAAGTTTGATGTATTCCCATTTGTCTGTTTTTGTCTTGGTTGCCTATGCCTTTTGTGTCTTATCTAAGAAATCACTGCCAGGTCTGATGTAATGAAGCTTTCCTCCTGTATTTTCTTCTAGTAGTTTTATAGTTACGGGTCTTATATTTATAAAGGTCCTTGACCTATTTTGGGTTAATTTTTGTATAGGGTGTAAGATAGGGTCCGACTTCATTCTTTTGCATGTGGCTATTCAGTTTTCCCAACACCATTTGCTGAAGTGACTATCCTTTTTCTATTGAGTAGTAGTAGTACCTTATCAAAGATTGTTTAACCATATATGCCAGAGTTTATTTGTGGGCCATTTCATTTGTCTGTCTCTGTCTTTATCCAGTACCACACTTTTTTGATTACTGTGGTTTTGTAATATATTTTGAAATCAGGAGGCTTGAGTCCTCTTTGTTCTTTTTCAAAATTATTTTGTGTATTTGGAGGCCCTTGACATACCATATGAAGTTTAGGATGAATTTTTTATCTTTGTAAAAAGTGCTATTAGGATTTTGATAGGGTTTATATTGAATCTGTAGATTATTTTGGGTAATATGGACATCTTAACAGCCCAATAAATATTTTTTGCTGGAATGAATACACATTGAATATGATTTGTTTGTTTGAGATAGAGTCTCACTCTGTTGCAGTGTTGTGATCATGGCTCATTGCAGCTTCAATGATCCGAGCTTAAGCAGTCCTTCCACTTCAGCCTCTCAAGTAGCTAGAACTACAGGCATGTGCCACCATGCCTGGCTAATTTTTCTATTTTTTTTGTAGAGACGGGGTTTTGCCATGTTTTCCAGGCTGGCCTTGAACTAGTGAGCTCAAGTGATCCACTTGCTTCGGTCTCCCAAAGTGTTGGGATTACAGGCATGAGCCACCGTGCCTGGCTGAATGTGTCTTATACTGTTCAAATTTGCAGTTGTAGGTTTTTTTCTGTTGAACATTCCCAACAGCTGAGCATACTTGGAAGGTATTCCTAGTGAACTAGATCCTTCCCTTAGACCTGTTTCTAGACTTAGAAATGTTAGGACCACTTAAAGGGAAGCAGTAATTCCAGTCACTGTCATCCTGGGAGCTCCTAGGTTCAGGATATAAGAAGAGAAATCTGTTTGACTTGTATATATTTATATTTTGGTAAATTTTGTTTCATTTTCTTGACTTCTGCTTTACTTTTCTGTTTAGAGATGTGATAATGGATCATCATGTTTCTACCATCAGGCCTCGAAGAATCCAAAACCAAAATGTCATTCACCGCTTGGAGCGCCGGCGGATCAGTTCAGGCAAGGCAGGTACCCACTGGCACCAAGTCCGAGTGTTCCATCAGAATGTCTTCCCCAACTTCACAGTTGTCAACGTTGAAAAGCCTCCTTGTTTTTTGCGTAAATTCTCACCTGACGGACGCTACTTTATTGCTTTTTCTTCAGACCAGACATCTCTTGAAATCTATGAGTACCAGGGCTGCCAGGCAGCAGAGGACCTACTGCAGGGATATGAAGGAGAAATCCTGTCCAATGGCAATGACCAGCGGTCAGTGAATATCCGGGGCCGGCTCTTTGAACGCTTTTTTGTCCTGCTGCACATTACCAATGTTGCAGCCAATGGTGAGCACCTGAACCGGGAGTGTAGTCTCTTCACTGATGACTGCCGCTGTGTCATCGTGGGCTCAGCTGCCTACCTCCCGGATGAGCCTCACCCTCCATTTTTTGAGGTATATCGGAACAGTGAATCAGTGACCCCCAACCCACGGTCCCCTCTAGAAGACTATTCCCTCCACATCATTGACCTTCATACTGGCCGCTTATGTGATACACGCACATTCAAGTGTGACAAGGTGGTCTTGTCACACAACCAAGGGCTGTACTTGTACAAAAACATCCTGGCCATCTTGTCTGTGCAACAACAGACCATCCATGTCTTCCAGGTGACTCCTGAAGGCACTTTCATTGATGTGCGGACCATTGGCCGCTTTTGCTATGAGGATGACCTGCTCACTGTGTCAGCTGTTTTCCCTGAGGTACAGCGGGACAGTCAGACAGGCATGGCCAATCCCTTTAGGGATCCTTTCATCAATTCCCTCAAACACCGGTTGCTGGTGTATTTGTGGCGCCGGGCAGAACAGGATGGTAGCGCAATGGCCAAGAGGCGCTTCTTCCAGTATTTTGACCAACTGCGGCAGCTGCGAATGTGGAAAATGCAGCTTCTGGATGAAAACCATCTGTTTATCAAGTACACTAGTGAGGATGTAGTAACACTGCGAGTCACAGATCCATCACAGGTATGAGGTGCACTTCTGCCTTTTACTTGTCCAGTCTCCTTGACAAAATGGGAAGGTTTCTCTGTTTATAGCCCACCCCTCAGAAATAGACATTTCACGTAGTCTGAGTTGATATCCTAGGGCCCAAACTTAAAATCAGCTCCATTTTTCTCTGGTCATATGTATTTATCTGGACAAATGGAAGCTAAAGTTCAAGTCATTGACAGGAAGATAGTCAACTCTGATTACTACCCTAACTCTTCTGCAGAGCATTTTCGGTACTCATAAGATGGAAGCCCAAATGCTACAAGGTCAAGGTTTGGACTACTTATGGATAACCTCTCTTGATTTTGTAAGATTGTGCTTATTGGTCTGGCCGTTTTAGTAATGGCAATGAGAATGAGTATACGATACAAAAAAGAAAATTCTCTAAGTAACCCCACTTTCGTCCTTAAATGGTTCATAATTTACTTCTCCGTAAAGTCCTATTTATAAGGTAACTAACAGGTGCACTCATTTGGCGGAATTAAGTTCTGTGACTTTACCCTGACCTTGCCCACATGCTGGGACATAGCTTGTAGAGCAGTGAAGAGATCAAAAAGAAGCCAAAATTGATGATCCATGAGGAGAGTCATCAGGACAACAAGTCTTAAAGGTTTTTCAGTTTAGGGGAAGAATGCCTTTCTTTCAGTAAGGGGAAGAAGCATTTCCCAAAAGGGAATAAGGTGATATAAAGAGCACAGAACTGCTAAGATTTGGGGGTTGAAACACTATATTGAAATTCAGGGTAATTTGGGCATTTGTCTTTGAAAACCTCTCCGCTTCAGTGTTGACCAAGTTAGAGAACTACCTTGCTACACCTTTGTCCCCCCAGTTCTCCTGTTTGCAGGTTGTCTCCTTAGACACTAGTTTGGAAATTCAGAACAACCAGCAAATCAGTAAATCATGAAGTCAACTGAGTTTGGTATCTCTTTTTTTTTTTTTTTTTGAGATGGAGTCTCACTTTGTCACCCAGGCTGGAGTGCAGTGGCACCATCTCGGCTCACTGCAAGCTCCGCCTCCTGGGTTCACGCCATTCTCCTGCCTCAGCCTCCCGAGTAGCTGGGACTACAGGCACGCACCACCACGCCCGGCTAATTTTTTGTATTTTTAGTAGAGATGGGGTTTCACCGTGTTAGCCAGGATGGTCTCGATCTCCTGACCTCGTGATCCGCCCGCCTCGGCCTCCCAAAGTGCTGGGATTACAGGCGTGAGCCACCGCGCCCAGCTGAGTTTGGTATCTCTTACTGACCTGTAGCTGATTTCTGCCATTAACAGATTCTGTACAGGGTATCATGTCCTATAATCTCACCAGTTACCTGTGGTAAATATCTTCTAACATTTGCCTTCTGAATTGTAGTTTATGTGTTCTAAAAAAAAGTACGGGAGTAATATGGTTAGAAATCATTTTTTGTGGATGTTTTTTCTTCCCTATCAATGATGAAGTCACCCATTGAGCAATCACAGGTGAGCATCTGGTTCGTCTTATGTATCATGGGATATTGCAGTGAAGTCCTTGACTTCTCTATCCTCCTGTTCTTTACTTCCCAGTCTGCCTTGGAGGGAAGGCTAGTAAATGTTTGAGTAATTTTATATCCATGTAATTATGAGAGATTCTGGTGAAGCCCTGATAGGATCAAAGTGTTGTCCAGGGCTATAGAAAGGACATGAATCAATCTTTATTTAGGTTTGAGCTATAATTGCCTTTTTATTTTGGAGGTAGTAAGTTGTCTGTGACTGCTGCCTTTGAGATTATTGTTTTCTTCTTTGCTAAAAGGTGGCCTAGTTGTTTCTGTTAGCTGCAATAAGTCATAGCTAGCGACATAACTAGGGCTCTATGCTTTGCTTATACAGTTTGTAACTCTAAACCCAATCTTTCTGCCCTAGTTGTCCTCTGCACTCCTCCCCCAGTTTAATTTGATAGGTTCCAGTAAGATTAATAAGTAAAAAGTACATCCAAACACAAGGCCTTGGTAATATTATGAGTATTATTCTCAGGTTACCCTCTAGCCTCTTTAATTTACAGCCAAATTTAATTTGCAGGTGACTGCAAAAGCCATGTAATATAAGCTCTGAGAAGCACTAATTACTAGTAAAACAGGTGGGTCGAGTGGCTCCAGAAATTGGTAATTGAGATTTAAACTCAATCATAGGAGGCTGAAGTACTAATCCTAGTGGTCTGAGAACTTCTAGAGTCCTGTCAGAAGTAGATGATTCACAATGCTACATTCACTGTAACAAAAATTAGGGGTTCTTGGAACTTCCTTGTTAGGCAGAGCACAGCACTGGAAGTTTAAAGGAAGAGGGCTAGCCACCGAGGGCCCATTTAGAAAAAGCAGTAACTCTGTCACCTATGGCATTTGAATGCTTTTCAGGTTCCCCCTCTGATCTTAATTGCTACAAATCTCAAATGTATTTTACAAATGCTCTTGGCTGAAAGAACATTTATGAAGAAGAAAGTGGAAAATGCCTATCTGATTTTTCATTTGTTCAGCAGTACCTTGCTTGTATACAACTTGCCTGGGCAGTTTAGAACAAGATGTACTTAAGATGTCTCTCTGCATGTTAGAAATATTAAGAGGGAAAAATAAATACCCCTAAATTGAACTTTCAACTGTACACATACAAGAGAAAGTAATTTGCCAACAGGCAGCCCCAGGCTGCAAATCACTTTCTCAGCAGGAAAGAAAATTAAATCTGGCATTTTAAGAAGTGCTTTTTATCTCAGGGTGGGTTGGGGAGTAAGTAGGGAATAAACATTTGGAAGGAAAAATACTGAATTTGCACAGTTTGAAATGAAAATTTAAAACCTTTTTATACTTATATGCTGGCCATCTCAGTAATTCTAGCAGCACAGATACAGTGGGAAATCTGGCAACGTTGAGGCTCTCAATTGATAAATCCTACGGTTGCTTCCTATTTTCCCAGAACCACTTGGAGCCATGTTTCCACCTCAGTGGTAAAGCTGAGGTGTTTGCTTGTTGTTGTTATTGTTTTTGGAAAATTCATGCCTTGAATTTTCAGCCAAGTGATAAGTTTCCTAGGCATGGCATTATACTCAGCTGTCCTATACCTCTCTCTCTTTTCTTCTGCAGGCATCTTTCTTTGTGGTATACAATATGGTGACAACAGAGGTGATTGCTGTGTTTGAGAATACGTCAGATGAGCTTTTGGAGCTCTTTGAGAACTTCTGTGACCTTTTTCGTAATGCTACCCTGCACAGTGAAGTCCAGTTTCCCTGCTCAGCTTCTAGCAACAATTTTGCAAGGCAGATCCAGCGCCGGTAAGCTGCTGTACCAGACTCAACAGTCTTATTTTTTTTTAGAAAAATTGGTGTTAGGCCAATAGCTATTGTCTCTAGGAAACCGTCTCTTATTCTGTCTGTCCACATAGCTTTGGTCAGTCTGCCTGTTATAACCCCTTGTTTCTTCCTGAACTTCTTTCTGTCTCAGCACCTGTGGAATTATTTGTGCGTTGTCTGTGATTCGTTCTAGACTGCATGTGAGCTGCAGAAAGATAGAGGCTGTGTCTTCATTTATTGCTGTATCCTCAGTGGTACACTGTCAAGCACTTATGTTTATTGAATGAATAAGGAAATAATTTTAGAACTTTTGGTTAAACATGATATGTTGAACACATGTATTTATCTTTGCTCCATCCCTAAGTCCCACTAAAATGACAATAAAGGAAGGTATAAACCTATAAGAACGAAGAGAATAGGAGAGGAGACGATGGGAGATAGGACATATTAACAAAGTTTTAAAAGCTGAAAAGCCAGGGAATGAATGAGAACTGACTTAGCGTACCTCGGAGAGCAGAAACTCAAGGCTGCAGAGCTTAGTCATCAAGAAACAAGCTGCCTTACACCAGAGAACTCAGGAAAGGGTCAGGAAGTTGGAGGTCCCAGGTGCCTCTTAGTACTTCTGAAGGTATCTGTGAGGTAGGCTGAAATGAGGAGGATTGGTAGAGTTCTTAAAAGGAGCAGTCAGACCCTCTAGATCCCTTTTCTAAGTCTACATAGCTAAGTGACTATCTCTTCTACCTCTGCAGAAGGCTGGAAGTTTATTCTCTGAGCAGATTGAACCAGATGGGCTCTGGTCTCAGGTTTATGAGGTATATTTAAAAGTAAGGATGAGACATGTTATACTAAAAACAGGAATTAGGTGAAAGTTGACATACGGAAGGGTAAGAGTCCTACCCCCCTTCCCAGATATGGCATCCACGCTTGAACCCTCCAGGCAGGAGATTAGAGATTCTTCGCTAGGAAAACTGACCAACACAAAGAGGAGACTTACAGATATTGACACCTGGAATGCCTTTACAAATCACTTAGGTCACGCTAAATATATACCCCCCAGTCAGCAAGGCCGTCCTATGAACCAGAGCTTCTAATAATTGCCGTAGTGCATTATTATGAAACAAATGGTTCCTTTGGGCCAAGGGCCTAAACTAAATCCTGCTTTAGTTAGTGCCTCATCATATTTCACATACTTAAATTGTTTCCCTTACTTTAGGCAGTAATGGAAAAATACCTGTTCTGGGTCCAAAGATGGATCAGACCACAGTGAGTGGATGAATCAGAATAAGCATTACTGCCACTGGGAAAAACAAATATGTTAATGCAGTGGCATCATATTTATATAAAGAGATAGTACTCAATTATAGATAGATGGCTACTGAGTTCAGACAACTGTCTTGCGTTTTCCTTTTTCTTTGGTTCACACAAATCTTCTGCCTTAGTATCTGTTCAGTATAGAAGAATTTTTATATGCAGAACATGAGTCAGATTTTGCTTTTTTTCATTTTGGGATGAATTTTCTTTTAAAATTTGCTTCAAAATTAAGCAGATAATTGACAAGTAACAGTCTGAGCGTGGTGGCTCGTGCCTGTAATCCCAACACTCTGGGAGGCCAAGGCAGGTGGATCACTTGAGCCCAAGTTTCAAGACCAGCCTAGGCAACATGGCAAAAACCTGTCTTTACAAAAAATGCCAAAATAAATAAATAAATAAATAACTGAGTGTGGTGGCGCATGCCTGTAGTCCCAGCTACTAGGGAGGCTGAGGTGGGAGGATTACTTGAGCCTGGGAGGCAAAGGTTGCAATGAGCCATGAGCGCGCCACTGCACTCCAGCCTGGGTGACAGAGCAAGACCCTGTCTCAAAAACAATAAAACAAAAACAACAAAAGATGGGTGCACTCAGTCAAGACATCAAAGAAGTCACTAGATGATAAGCTCCATGAGGGCAGGGATTTTGTCTATTATGTCCACTGCCGTATCCCCAACACCAAGGCCAGTGTCTGCTCTGTGGGAGGAGCTCAGTAGGTATTTGCTGAATGAATGAAGTTATCCAGGAATTAGAAGAAATTGTTTTCCAAAAATTATTTCAGAATACATCTGGAATTAAACAAAATTACAGAAAGCTCCAGAAAAAACTGAGGGGACAGGTTGTATATTCTAGCTCAGTGATCTTAAGAATTTTACTTTACCACCAAAAGATTTTGAAAAATTGGGGTACCCTCACATATTTTTAAGTTGATTTTTAAATTTTTTTTCTGTTACTACTAAATTTAATAGTTGTAGAGGATGATATTTTCAGTGTATATTAAACATTGACATTTAAAATAACACTTTAAAATATAACAAAAGGATGCTAATTACCATAGTAATTTGGTATTCAAGTATTTTATATGAAAAATTCGTGGCAAATTATACCCATAATTGGGAATTTTACATTGCTTCTTCTGATTCTCAAATTTGTATGTCTATTCTATGTCCCCAACACAATTGTATGCTAACATATTTTGTTGACCACTAATCATACTTTGCTACATTGAAAATACAATGTATATATAAATTGAAATTTTTTTTTTACTTCTTGTGAACACATGGTTCTAAATGCTAAATTTTATAGTAATCTTTTCCCAGTAATCTTTTGGTAAAAATCAATGAAATTGGGACCCTTATAGGTCAAAATAAATGTTCAAGAATAAAAATAGACACCATGGATCATGAGTCATTTAAGGAAAGCCTTTATCCTAAAAGAGACCAACACAAAACAAACAGAATAAAGAATAAAGAGTAAGGAAACAGGCCTGGCATGGTGGCTTATGCCTTTAATCCTAGCACTGTGGGAGGTTGGCGTGGACTGATTGCTTGAGCTCAGGAGTTCAAGACCAGCCTGGGGAACATGACTGGTCTCCCAAAAAGCAAAAAAATTAGCTGAGTTTGGTGGCATGCACCTGTCATCCCAGCTACTTGGAGGGGCTGAGGCAGGAAGATTGCTTGAACCTGGGAGGCGGAGGTTGCAGTGAACTGAGATCAAGCTACTGCATTCCACAGTGGGTGACAAAGACAGACCCTATCTCAAAAAAAAAAAAAAAAGAAAAAAGAAAACAATGTTACATTCACTGAAACAATTTAAAGTATAAAAACAGGAACATTCTAGCTGGGCAGGGTGGCTCATGCCTGTAATCCCAGCACTTTGGGAGGCTGAGGCAGGCGGGTCATGAGGTCAGGAGATCGAGACCATCCTGGCTAACACGGTGAAACCCTGTCTCTACTAAAAGAAAAAAATACAAAAAAAATTAGCCAGGCATGATGGCAGGCACCTGTAGTCCCAGCTACTCGGGAGGCTGAGGCAGGAGAATGGCGTGAACCCAGGAGGCGGAGCTTGCAGTGAGCCGAGTTTGCGCCACTGCACTCCAGCCTGGGCAACAGAGTGAGACTCCGTCTCAAAAACAAACGAACAAACCAAACAAAAACGGGAACATTCCTAGAACAATGAGAAACTTTTGGAAATTTAAAATTTGTTAGATGTGGTGGAGGAACTCTCCAAGAAAGTAGAGTAAATTGATAAGAGAAGGGACATAGAAGAGAAACATTAAAAAAAAAAAAACCAGAGTATCTGCCTAGGAGGTCAAATATCTGGCTAATTCCTGAAGGAGCAGTGGAGAATCTAAAGTGGAGAAATAATGGGATCGTTTCCCAGGACTGAAGAACATAAATTTTTAGATTGGCAGGACCATCCAGTGCTGGAGCTGGCTTGTACTGGCTCATGAGATCTGACTGTTAAACTTTCAGGAATTTTTGCAAGCTGATTGTTACACAAAGTCGTTATTAAGAATTATTTCCAAATTATTTCCTATTTTACTGTTACTTAGGCTCTTGTGGTTTTTGCATCTATTTTATCTATATGGTGTAAATACTATATAATAAGGTGCTACTGCTCTTCTCTTGGCAACTGCACATTGAGTAATGTCACATTGGTACCTTGGCAGGAAGATTTACACCACAGAAATCAGCAAGCACTACAAATCATGGCTTTTTTCCCCTGAGAAAAATTAAACCTTTATCAGTGCACCACTGGATTCATCTAGTATCCAGTATAGTCAATGAAAAAGACCCACACCGAGAGGCATATCATCATGAAATTTTGGAACATTGGGGATGAAGAGAACATTGTGAAAACTTTGAGAAAGAACATACATTTCACGTGTAAAAACAATGTCATCATAATGACATCAGACTTACCAATAATACCGAAAGCTTGAAGTCATTAAAATCATGCCCTCAGAAGTCTATGAAAAGGGCGATTTGCAATTTAGAATTCTGTCTTTTTTTTTTTTTTTCCCTTTTTGTGGAGAACGGGGTCTCGCTATGTTACCCAGGCAGGTCTCGAACTCCTGTGCTCAGGCTCTCCTCCCGCCTCTGCCTCCCTGAGAGCTGGGATTATAGGCGTGAGCCACCACGCCCGGCCACAATTTAGAATTCTATATCCAGATAATAGAGTGGAATGGAGACATTTTCAAACCTGTGAAGTCTGAAAAGATTACCTCTCATGTACCTTTTCTAAGGAAGCCTATGGAGATGTACTTCAATAGACCACAAAAGAATGGTATGTAGGAAATAGTCTGACACTGGAGAGAGGCAAAGAGAGTCCTGAGGATAATGATAAAGGGAATTTGCAGAATGACTGTCCACCTGTCAGACCATTTGGAAGCACGAGAGTGGAGGAGTCCAAGAAGAATGTGTCCAAGGAAAAAAAAAATTGTTAGAATACTGGTAAGTTTGAGTATATTAAGAAGAGATTGTCAGTTTTCCTAGTAGAGTTGTCGGCATAGGCTTCACTGAGAAGGTGGTGGTTGAGAAAGCTTTTGAAGGAAGTCAGGGGGCAAGCCATGTGGATAGCAGGAAGAAGAATATACCCAGCAAAAGGAATAGCATATCTAAAGGCCCTGAGGTGGATCTGATGCATTTGAGGGACAGCAAGAAGGCCAGGGTGGCTGGACCGGAGTGAGCAAGGGGCAGAGTAGTTGGAAATAGGGCCAGAGACCTGATTTGGGGTGGGGAGGTAGGCGGATACATAGGGCCATTCTATAGTCTTGGCTTTAACTATAGATGAGGTAGATTGTGTCATGTTTGAGCAGAGGAATGACATAGTCTCACTTATGTTTTAACAGAGTCATTCTGGCTGTTCTGTTAAGATTAGAATGTAGGCAGATAGGGTGGCAGCAGGGATACCAGTTAAGAGACTTTTGCAGTGATCCAGTAAGTATAACTATGGCATTCTGTTTCCTGCCACTAGGATTTAAGTTCTTTACTGTCCACTAATGTATCCTAAGCACCTAGAAGAGTGTCTGGCACATACCAAGTCCTCTGTGATTATTTGTTGTTTAACGGTGGTGGCTTGGATCAGGGTGGTAGCATTGGGAATAGTAAGTAATTATATTCTCAATGTATTTTGAAGGTTAGAGCCCAGTGGATTAATGGAGGATGGTCTATGGGCTATGAAAGAACAAAGTCAAAGATAATTCTAACATTTTTGGATTGAACAACTTGCAAGAGAGAGTTGCCATTAAACTGTAAACCTGTTGGTAGAGCAGGTTTAGGGGAGAGGATCAAAAGTTCTGTAAGTGGAGGTGTCTCATAGTTTCTCAAAGGACAAACATAGTTTGTCACAGCCACCTGACAATTTTCAGTACAATAGGGACTGAAAATTAACTTATTGGAGTTAGCAGCATCGAGGTCATTGGTAACCTTGACAAGAGTAGGTTTGAGTAAGATGGTAGGGGTGAAAGCCTCTTCAGGGTGGGTTTAAGAAAGAATGGGAGGAGAAAAGTTGGACAGTATGGAACAGTGTTTTGAGGAGTTTTATTACAATGGGAGCTGAAAAGTGGTGCATTAGCTGGAGAGGTAGGTGGTGTTAGATTTTGTTTTTGTTATTTTTTAGATGAGGGAAAAATGGCATGTTTGCATACAGATGGGACTGATCCTGTAGAGAAGGGGAAACAGTTTAGGAAAGTGGAAGAACTGCTTAAGTGTATGAGAGGGGCTGGGTTCTAGTGCACTGGCAGATGGATTTGCCTTGCATGGGAGCACAGAAAGTTATATATGTACAAATGTTGGGTAGATGTGCTGATGGGAGCTTTAAAAAAGTTATCTTCTGCCAACTTCCATTTGTCAGTAACAAAGTAAGTGATGCCATTAGCTAAGAGTCAGCATGGAAGAGGGGAGATGAAATAGTCGTGGAAGAGCGTGGGAGTCTGGAAGGACTATGGAAATGTAATACGAGTGCCCTGCAGCATTAAGAGCCTACATAAAGTTCATGGCCATAAGTTTAAAGTGAGCATTGTATGTTTTTCTACAGCCATGGAGAAAACCAAGTAGTACAGGCAAGGAATAGGCAAAGTTGAGCTTAACTGGAGGTTGTAGTTTTTCTAAGCAAGTACCATAAGATAATTTAAGATTGTTGAGGATGTGTGCAATGGATTATTTAGTGATTTCATCTTATGTGGAAGGAAGGAAGAGAGGATATGATGAGAGTGTAGGATGGCAAGAAGTTGATAGAATCAGTGGATTATAGGTCCTGTAGGGGTTGAAGGATTGCTGAAGTTGGGATGAATAGAGGGAGTGAGCCAGGAAGATGGGAGAAAAGATGGTTGGAGAGCGTGACGGTCTACCCTGTGACTAGAGAGGGTTTGCAGTCGTTGGTAATGGTGAGGTTGAGGGTGTGACTGTGGAATAAGCAGTTGAGGTTGAGAGGAGGTCAAGGAACTAGTAGGAGGCCATGGTGCTGTAAAGAACATCTCTGAGGATTTTGAAATTACCGAGAATTAAGAGAGGTATGGCGGGACAGAGTGACGCTGAGGCAGGAGCTAAAGTGTGAAGACATCAAAGGGAGTGACTGCTTTTAATCAGTGGGGAGCATGGAGAGAGGAGGTGGTAGGTGCTGCAGAGGAAGAGGAACTGCTTCAACCTGTAGATTATCACAGATGCTTTGATTTGTGGTCATCACAAAGCTGTGAACCAGCCCCCATCATTTTACCTTTGAAAGCCAGCGAGTCAGTGAGTCAGGCAGGGCTAAGGTGTAGATGAGATGGTGCCAGATCTTTGCTGAAAACCAAAGTGCCCAGGATCTTTTATTTCAGCTCAAATGAAAGGGAAAAAATAAGCTCTATTTGGCCCAAGATTTATTTTTATGATTTATACTGAGGCTGTGAAAATTACTGTCAGGAGGAGTAATGGAAAAGCAGTGTTGCTTGCTAGGCTTTCTTTAGGGGGAGCGGAAAAGTGTTCATGTCCACCTAATACCGTAGGTTAATAGTGAAAATAAAAATTACCCTCAACTAATTAATCTTTCTAGTCTCATGAAAGTTAGGAACGCTGAAGTTTTTTTATTCCATTTGTTTCAGGGATGAGATATTATACTTTTCTCCCAGACTAAAAAAAATTTATATCCCCTTGATGGTTGAACCGTATGATATGCTTGAATATAGAGGTTTAAATATATATATATACTGATAGACAGTTGACATTCTTTCTACGAAGGTGTAGGAAAGTGAAAAATAAGGAAAAACTTCAAAATGTCATTATACGACTATTAACATTTTAATGTTTCTGCCAGTCTTCGCTTTAAGTGTGAGTTTTTGTTTTCTTTGTGTTTTTAGCCATATTACATAGACAGTATTGTATCCTACTTCTTTTATTTACAGATGTGATAAACATTTCCCGTTACCATATAATCTTTGAAAATGGTAGTTTTCCATTAGCTTTTTATTTTTTCTACCTCTATAAACAGTGCTGTATGAATGTGCACAGAGATTTTTCTGCATGTAGGAGTGATTCCTTAGGGCAGATTTCCAGAAGAATAGAAGTACTTGTCAAAGAGTATTAAATTTAGTTTTGTGGCCAGGCACGGTGGCACACGCTTGTAATCCCAGCACTTTGGAAGGCTGAGGCAGATGGATCGCTTGAGGCCAGGAGTTGAAGACCAATCTGGGCAACATGGCGAGACCCTGTCTCTACGAAAAAAAAAAGTTAGCTGGGTGTGGTGGCACGCACCTGTGTTCCTGGCTACTTGGGAAGCTGAGGTGGGAGGATTGCTTGAGCCCAGGAGAGGTGGGGGTAGCAGTGAGCTGAGGTTGTGCTACTGCCCTCCAGCCTGGGCAACACAGCCAGAACCTGTCTCTAAAAAAAATAAAATAAAACAGCATTTGTTACAGTCATGAGAAATAACTGCTTTGTCATTATTTTCAAAGATAAGTGAGATATATGACTCTCTATGTCTGTTACTGTTCTTCTAGATACTGGTGTTTCTGCAGGAGTATAAGTAGCTAGTTTCCAAATTTTATTTAAACAAAGAATGGGTAATTTATTTGTGAAAGGCTTGCTGGAAGTGGGTGATCCCAAGAAGAGTCAAGGGCTGCTTCTGTTCTCTATAACTCCTTCCTAATTCAGTCTAAGGCAATTATTTGGGGAAAGTAAGTTCTTGACCTTTTTCAAACCCAGTTGAGCTGTTATTAGAAAAGAGAGAAATAGTTGTCATAAACTAGTTATACTCATTTCAAACTTGTTTGTAGAGTCTTTGTTAACTTCTAAAGTAGGGCCGGGTGTGGTGGCTCATGTCTGTAATCCTAGCATTTTAGGAGGCTAAGGCGGGCAGATCAGTTGAACCCAGGAGTTCAAGGCCAGCCTGAGCAACATAGCGAAATTCCATCTCTATAAAAAATACAAAAATTAGCTGGGCGTGGTGGCATGTGCCTGTAGTCCCAACTACTCTGGGGGCTGAGGTGGGAGGAACGCTTCAGCCAGGGAGGTCAAGGCTGCAGTGAGCTGAGATCACACCACTGTACTCCCGCCTGGGCAACAAAGCGAGACCCTGTCTCGAAATAAAAAAAACCCAAAACCCAAACACATTTCTAAAGTAATTTGTTGTTTTCCATTTTTAGTTATATGTTTTGCTTTTTAAAAGTATTTGTAGCTGGCCAGACTTGTAATGTGTGAGAGAGAGTTCTGTCTTAATTCATTACCTAGGCTTTAATTTGTATTTAAAGAATGAGTTGTTCTTAGATATATATTTGTCAATTTAAAATCCAAGACAGCTTTGTGTACTCACTAACAAAGCCTTCCTCACCGGCCGTTTTGTTTAGGTTCAAAGACACTATTATAAATGCCAAGTATGGAGGGCACACAGAGGCGGTACGCCGGCTGCTGGGTCAGCTCCCCATCAGTGCTCAGTCTTACAGCGGTAGCCCCTATCTGGATTTGTCTCTCTTCAGTTATGATGACAAGTGGGTATCTGTCATGGAGCGGCCCAAGACTTGTGGAGATCACCCAATCAGGTACAGTGTCACTGCTATAGCTACAAACTGCTCAAGGGCTGAAGATGGCCTGCTTTCTTTTCTCTTCTTCTGGACATCATTTGATTGTGACTGTCTCCACTTGTACTCATGGGTAAGGTTGAAAGGCAGGCTATTTCTATAATGCAGTGAGTGCTACGATCATTTAGGTACTAGTCTCATAAATTATTCCTACTCTTTGCTTCTCATCAGAACATCTAATTCAGATAAGTGTTGTCCTCTTTTAAAGGTATCCAGGGTAGGAAGCTGTACTTTCCCATTTAATAATCTAATACGATTCCATAATAGTTTTTGTCATTGAGACTTTATAATTATGTATCTAACACAGATTTTATCCTGCCATGTTACCTAATAGAAAAAGTAGCAGAGACAATTTGGGGAACTGCTGACAGATTTAGAAGAAACTCATGCTTCCTCACTTGGAGGAATTTTGGAATGTAGACTGCTGTGTTATTGTTAGAACTTTGAAACTGACGTCTTACAAGAAATTCTTTCCTCACAGAAGTCTAGTTCACAGACCCATCTGTCTCTCCATACATGGAGCCTGTTCTGTGTGCTGTAATAGTATTAGCGGGAGGAGCTGGAATTACTCTCACTAGTGGAGTTACCTCAAGGTGGGTGTGTTCCTGGAGCTCTAGGCTGGAGCTTGGAAGGTCTTTGTCACATAGAAACAGTGGTAGTTAGATCTTTATGATAGATATATTTCATCATCCAGCCTCCTTGTGTATTAAATGGGCCTGTGTGACATATTCTGTATAATTAATCACCATTTATAATATTTCCTTTGGGAAATTAGAGTCAAGTTCCAAAAACTAGTTAATATTTTTATTTATTATGGAAAGTTGTATATGGAAAAACATATACAAAAAGTAGAAGAGCGTAATAAACCTTCATGTACTCATCACCCACTTGAACAGTTACCAGCTCGTGACTGCTCCTGTCTCACCTATTTCCATCACCACCACTGCTCCCTCCCCTTCCCACCACTGTCTGAGGTTATTTTTAAAGGAAATCCAAGTTATCCTAGCAAAACAAGTAACACTATTACCCCATCTCTAAAAAATTAACAAAAAATCTTTAATATCTTCAAACATCTAGTCAGTTTTTATATATCCCTGTTGTCTTACAGATATTCTTTTTATGGTTAATTTGTTTGCATCAGATCCATACAAGGTTCATGCATTGCATTTGGTCCCTTCAGTCTTTTTTTTTTTTTTTTTTGAGACGGAGTCTCTGTCTGTTGCCCAGGCTGGAGTGCACGATCTCAACTCACTGCAACCTCTGCCT